TATTGTCTAAGTAGGTGGAGGGATCATCGCATTGTAATCATTTCATCTTCATTAGACAAATATTATTTTGCTAGTAGAATTTTCATTGTTCAACTCTTTTACTTAAACTCTTGTTTAAGTGTTCTGAGGTCTGCACAGGAGATTCGTTGAGGAGCTATCGCAGGAGAAACTCCCACCAACTTAAAGAAAACAGTAACCTTCTATTGCTTATTCAATCATATTTCTATTGGGCATCGTTGCTCATCCATCTCTGCCTCATGACCAGAATGCAGGGGAGTGAGATCCAAGCAATTTTTGCCAGAGAAAATATGCCTTCTTTAATTGACTTACTTAAGCTAGTTCACCTTAAATTAAATAACAACAAAAGACAACTTTGTCTCTTTTTTTTTTAAAAAAGATTTATTTATTTATTTATTTAAGCAAGCACTGGGTACAGTAAGAAGCGCTAGTAGGTAAGAGTATTCACCAGAGCCAGAGCGGGGAACAGAACAGACTGACAAAGCACACTGCTGAGGCGCGGCAGGAGAGGACTGTAGCGACATGCGGGACTCTCACCCAGTGGCTGGGGATCAAATCATCCCTGCAGAGGCTGCGAGCAGCTGTGCAGCCCAGCGCTCAAATCCTGAGCCACCAGGGGAAGCCCCAAAAGACAACTTTGAAAGCTTATTTTTTATATAGTGGTTTGCTAGGTATATTTTGTGTCACTGTTCCTACATTACCTTCTCTTTTTTTTTTTTTGAAGATTTATATATTTATACAAGAACTGGGGTACAGGCCAGAGGCACGGTAGGCTGAGAGAATTCATGAGACACAGAGCAGAGAGCAGAACAGGCAGAAGGACCGAATACACTGTTTAGGGGAGCAACGGGCGAGACTGGAGAGGTCTGCTGCACCATGTGGGAATCTCCCTGGCCAGGAATGGAACCTGGGCTGCAGAGACTGCGGACAGCTCCACAGCGCTGACTCAACCCGGGGAGCCCCTACATCACTTTCTCTTCATCCTGAGGTTAATAAAAGGGAAGTAGAAGAATGGTGAAAATACTTCATCACTTCCGCTACAATTTTCGAGACATCCATCTTTTTGTTTCTCATTTCAACTTTCCTAGAAAGCAAAACTTGTGGCAAAAGGAAAATGTAACTGAGTGTCATGAAAGAGAAAAGAGAAAAGTGATTTTTCTGTTAACAGAATGACAGAGTATAAGTTAGCACCAACTGAAGAGAAATAATCAGGCTGTAATAAAATCAAGAAAGCATCTGGTCCAGAATAGGAGCCAGGGGCCTCCCCGGTGGCGCAGCGCTTGAGCACTGGGCTGCGAAGCTGCCTGCAGCCTCTGCAGCGCTGATGATCCCCGGCCACAGGACAGGTTCCCACATGGCGTGCAGACCTCTCCCGCCATGCCCGCTGCTCCCCTCAGCAGTGTACTTCGCCAGTCTGCCTGTTCTGCTCCCGGCTCTGGCTCGGGTGAATTCTCTCACCCTCCCATGCTCTGACTGTACCCAGTGCTTCTATAAATAAATAAATAAATCTTAAAAAAAAATGAATAGTAGCCATGATCCAGACCAACATACAAGGGACATCCAAGGTGTGTTCAACCAGGCTCAGGACACACTCGAGTTTAAAGATCAGGCCTAGAAATGGCCTGAGGTTAGGTCAGTTGTGACACTTTTGGATTATTTCCCAATAAAAGGCTCAGTGTGGGCCCCTGCTCCTTCCATCAGCCGATGTCTCTCTTTCTGTAGTCACTGAATGACTAACTCAGATGGTTAAATTTTCACCTAGACGTCTCAACACAGCAACTTAGAGACAAGAGGGAATCTGACTGAAAACAAGTTTCACGCGAGCAAAATTTAGCGCAACAAACTAGGGGTCTGGGCGCTATGGCTGAGCTCCAAGATAGTTCCCCAGGGGCAAGAGAAGGAGGACAGGAAAAGAACAAAAATCATTTGACTTGTAAATTAAAGCTTCTAATCCATCCTTGGGAGAGAATCTATCTAAAGGCTGATCTGTAACCTGGGGCAGAAATGTGATGGTTACAGCTAAGTTGAAGCACCTCCCTGCTACCTGAGCAATTCACACACACTTCCTGGTTACCTTTTTCAATCACACTATCGGGCTTTCTTAACTTCTCTCAATTCTACCCAAAGTGTTTTCAGTTTACTAAATTCTACCCAAATAAGCTGTCAGTTAGCAACAAAGTTATCTTTGAAATGCATTCATTTCTTTTAATTTATGATTTATTTTACTTATGCATAGAGGAACTGGGGTAGAGGCCAGAGGTGTGAGGGGTGGGCAAGAGAGGATTCACCGGAGACAGAGTGAGGAGCTAGGGCTTAAGACACATCACTATGAAGCTATCCGCAGTCACTACAACAAGAGGTAGATTCCAGGCCAGGGAGGTACCCACATGGTGCAGAGACCTCTCCTGACTCGCCCGTTGCTCCCCTCAGCAGTGTATTTTGGACCATCTGCCTGTTCCAAAGATTTATTTTTTTTTTAAATTTATACAAGCACTGGGTACAATCAGAAGCGCGGGAGGGTGAGAGAATTCACCAGAGCCAGAGCAAGGAACAGAACAGGCAGACTGATGAAATACACTGCTGAGGGGAGCAGCGGGAGGCAAGAGAGGTCTGTGTGCCATGGGGCTCCGGTGGCCGGGGATCGTGAGAGCCACCAGTGGAGGCCCTATGCCTGTTCTATTCCCCATCCTGTCTCTAGAGAATCTTCTCACACCCCACAACTCTGTCCTGTACCTCAGTTCTTGTATGCATAAATAAATAAATATTAAAAAAAAAAGTTAGATATTCAAAAGTTGTTTGTTTCCCTCAGGTAATGTGGAAATGGCTTGAACTTTACCCTGTTCTCCACACATCTTCCAACTTTGGGAATCAACTTGAATACTTCTTTCAAAGTTCAGTGAGCTGTGAACTCGTGTGCGTGACACCCATGTCATCTTCTCCAGGTTCAAACTGTGGAATGATGCTTTTATCGGGTGTATTCTTTTTAGAGCATATGCAGCAAAAGCACTGGTTTTTTACCTAAAGGAACAATTGTATAAGTAGCTTAAAATCAAAGAGTGGTCTCATTCACTGCACTTGCTCTCCTTCCATTTGTCACAAAACTACTTTATTTCTCAACTTCTTTGCACTTAGACACCCCATGGGAATACATTCAGGCCAATTCAATGGGGCAGAAGTGATACTTTACAGGGCAGGGAGAGGGGCACCCGAGATCCCACAAACCTGCCTTCTCTAAATATGTACTGCCATCTGCTGCATCAACACAAAATATGTGAGACTTTGATGAAAAGGAACTTTAATACAACAGGAAACAATACAGAAAAGGCAAAGAATATAGTTTCTAAATCAAGCACCCAAAGTTTCCTGTCCCCTTGTGGGGAAAAGTCCACTCAAGTAGGATTGGCCCAGAGGCAGACCCGAAAGCCTGCCACAAGCCTAAAGCACCTTCCAGTGGGGACCCACAGAAAAGTATCAGAAACAACCAGGCAAGTCTGGGAGGAAAAGTCCAAAATGAAAATCATGATAAAAGCTGCCACTGTCACCTCCCACGAGTGTCTCATCCACATCTGTGTCACCCAGTCCATGACCAAAAGGCAAGCGCAGTTTCTTCCCGGGTCTCTCTGCTCCATGTGCCTCCTCCAGGTTTCCTCCTGCTTCCTCCTTCCTAGGTCCCTCCTGCAGCTTTTTTTTTTTTTTTAATGATTTATTTTTTTTATTTACACAAGCACTGGGTACAGTCAGAAGCGTGGGAGGGTGAGAAAATTCACCAGAGCCAGAGCGGGGAACAGAACAGGCAGACTGATGAAATACACTGCTGAGGGGAGCAGCAGGCAGCAGGAGAGTTCTGTCGACCCATGTGGGACGATCATTGTTGGTGGCCAGGGATCAAACCGGTGCTGCAGAGGCTGCGGACAGCTTCACAGCCCAGCACTCAACCACTGCGCCACCAGGGGAGGCCCTGTTACTGCTTTTTAAAAAAAGATCCTTAGAGTTTTTCCTACCCCTTTCAGTCGTATGATACTCCTATTTTGCACACTGATAATCAGATCTTCCTTTAGGGGCTTTTGGCTTTGTTTGTGCAGCAATTTTTTTGTTCTTGTATGAAGGAGGTGATTCCAGCTCTTTACTTTGTCACCATCTTCCCAGCACTCCCTTACTTGCATTTCTTTTCTTTTTTTTTTTTAATCCATTTATTTATTTATACAAGCACTGGGCACAGTAGAAGCGTGGGAGGGTAAGAAAATTCACCAGAGCCAGAGCAGGGAACAAAACAGGTAGACTGACGAAGTACACTGCTGAGGGGGGCAGGGGGTGGTAGGAGAGGCTTACTCGCCATGTGGGACCCTTGCCCGGTTGGCCAGGGATCGAACCCCTGATGCAGAGACTGCGGGCCGCTTCAACTGCTACGCCTCCGGGGAGGCCCCCTTAAATGAATTTCTTTTAAGACTAATTATGCAATCTATCATTAGAAACTTACTTTAAAATGAAAACCTGAATTGAATGAAATGGTAAATAAAATTTACTGTCCATACTTCTTCATTATTTTAAATAATAATAAGAAAATAAGAATAAACAAATTCAAGATTTCTTCAAAAATAATTTAATAAAGAAAACCTAATACAAAGGAAGTAATATGGAAAAATAAATGTTTGAAAATTTTAATACAATATAAAGGTGGACATGTATTAATATAACTTCAAATTTCATAATGGTATAAGACGCAAAAAAGAATGGATCTATAAATAAAGTAAATAAATAAATAAATAGATAAATAGAAAAATAAATAAATATTAAGGTGGTGCTCTCTTAGGAACTGATGATCCTGGAGCTGAATTTTTAAACATATTCTTCCTTAACGCTAAGACAATACATTTCCTAATTAAATTCAATAAATTTTGTGGCTGAAGCAGAAACCAAAGCTTTTGAAATGCCCTAAAACTTCTGTGCAAAGGTGATGAGGCACATTAGTCAGGAGATTCGCTTCAAGGTGAGCCCAGGTCTCCATTCTTTGTGCTGAGTCTTTCTTGCAAGAGCGTTGACAGAGAGAAGCATCTCCTGATTTCCACTCGGACCACCTCCCAGGCACAGTCACTGTACTTCTTCTCTTGCAGGTAGAGATGGATTCCCTGGAAGTAGCTCTTCACAGCAAGAACGGAGGCTTCAATGCTCAGGGCCGAGTCTTCCTCTCTCACCTCCTCCACCGAGCAGGCGTCCAGGGCTTGCAGCTGCCGGTAGAGCCCACTGAGCAGCCGGTCCAGGAGGGTCGCGTTCCAGGCAGCAGAGGAGTCCTCCGAGAGGAACAGGTGGACGGTCTCCCAGAGCATCTCCTGCAGGACGGACACGGCCTGGGCCTTCGGCAACAGGCTGCCATCCAGCGCCTCCCAAGGGAAGCTGAAGTCTTTCCTGTCCTTAAGACACAAGAAAGGGGAGATTCTCCTCATTTCACCCAGAAGCGCAAAGTTGCTCCTGCTCAAGGCGGCGTGGCTCGGAGGCAGGTCACAGGCCAGAGAGCCACCGGGGCAACAGCTGAGCACTGCCAGGGCCGCCAGAAGAGACAGCAGGAGGGCCATGGGCAAGCGAGGAACAGGCTGGTCTGGTGATGTCTGGGTGAGTGAACCGTAGGTTGTCTGAACCATCTCCCTAAGCATGGCCTTTAAATAGGGAAACATCAAATTTCGCTTTTGGAACTTTCGCTTCTCTTTTTGTTTTCATTTATGCAATCTCACTATGGTCTCCATGAATATAATTTTTTTTTAAAGTTTTATTTATCATTGTATACAAGAACTGGGGTACAGGCCAAGGGGTGGGGGGTGAGAGGATTCAACAGAGACAGAGTGGGGAACCGAACAGGCAGACTGACTGAAATACACTGCTGAGGGGAGCAGTGGGTGACACGGGAGAGGTCTGCTGTGCCATGTGGGTAGCTCCCTGGCTGGGGATCGAACTGGTGCTGAAGTGGCTGCAAACAGCTTCATAGGTTGCGTCTTAACCCCTTGCAACACCAGGGAGGCCACATGAGTGTAATTTTTCAACCCAAGTTTAATTTTCCAAGTAAACTTTGGATGTGCCATTCCAAATAGATATTTGTCAATTAAAGGAGAAACACCTTAGTTTTAAACTCTGAAGTGTTTTAAATACTCAGACACTCACATTTTGCTGTCACTAAATAAGTATGCTCTTTTCTGTGTCAGAAGCAAAATTTGACCGTGCGTCTGATCCATTCTTTCTTTCATAGGAAAGCAGGGTCTCTCTGGCCTGACGGATTTCTGTGTTGGGTTAGGTATTTGCCAGAAGTGTAGTAAATAGTTTCTTTATGCGCTAAGGATGGGTTTCGCTGGATTCTCAGCTGAGACTGATGATTATTGGAGAATGAACTTCTCAGATGCTTCCCTCCTGCCTAGAGGACAATCATGTAGGCCCGAGTGCTTATGTTTCACTGGGGCCACCAGGTCAGCTCCAACAGAGACATTGTCCTTTCTTCTGCCATGTGCTTACTGGAGGCCTGTTGTGCTCTCAAACTGTGCCAATACCCCAGCAGCGGTCCTGCTTCTTCTCAGGAGCATGTGGGTGTGGAGATTTTAACTCATTTCATTTTCCCACTACCACCTCACTCACAGGTAGAAACCTCATCTAGCAACACTTCCTCTCTGGAGTGCCAGGGTCTTCAACCCAAACTCTGCTGTGCTCAAACCCTGAGGGCAAGTTCACCACATCCCAAAGTCTTAAGAGTTCCCTACTGCGGAGATGCTGGTTTCCTCCTTGGCAAGACAGTCTTCCAGAAGCCTCATCATTATCCCTAGAGAGTTTGAGGGAAGGGTCCCAGTTCTCAGTGGTGACTCCTTGCCAGACCTATGTCCTCAGATAGAGAACCTTCCATAGTCTTCAGAAGCTGACAGCAAACTTTTTATTGTCTTAGTAGGTGGAGGGATCATCCCCTTGTAATCATTTCATCTTCATTAGACAAATATTATTTTGCTAGTAGAATTTTCATTGTTCAACTCTTTTACTTAAACGCTGTTTAAGTGTTCTGAGGTCTGCACAGGAGATTCGTTGAGGAGATATCGCAGGAGAAACTCCCACCAACATAAAGAAAACAGTAACCTTCTATTGCTTATTCAATCCTCATATTTCTATTGGGCATCTTTACTCATCCCTCTCTGCCCCATGACCAGAATGCAGGGGAGTGAGATCCAAGCAATTTTTGCCAGAGAAAATATACCTTCTTTAATTTACTTACTTAAGCTAGTTCTCCTGAAATTAAATAACAACAAAAGACAACTTTAAAAGCTTATTTTTTATATAGTGGTTTGCTAGGTATATTTTGTGTCACTGCTCCTACATTACCTTCTTTCTTTTTTTTTTTGAAGATTTATTTATTTATATAAGAACTGGGGTACAGGCCAGAGGCATGGTAGGCTGAGAGAATTCATGAGACACAGAGCAGAGAGCAGAACAGGCAGAAGGACCGAATACACTGTTTAGGGGAGCAACGGGCGAGACTGGAGAGGTCTGCTGCACCATGTGGGAATCTCCCTGGCCAGGAATGGAACCTGGGCTGCAGAGACTGCGGACAGCTCCACAGCTCTGACTCAACCCGGGGAGCCCCTACATCACTTTCTCTTCATCCTGAGGTTAATAAAAGGGAAGTAGAAGAATGGTGAAAATACTTCATCACTTCCGCTACAATTTTCGAGACATCCATCTTTTTGTTTCTCATTTCAACTTTCCTAGAAAGCAAAACTTGTGGCAAAAGGAAAATGTAACTGAGTGTCATGAAAGAGAAAAGAGAAAAGTGATTTTTCTGTTAACAGAATGACAGAGTATAAGTTAGCACCAACTGAAGAGAAATAATCAGGCTGTAATAAAATCAAGAAAGCATCTGGTCAAGAATAGGAGCCAGGGGCCTCCCCAGTGGCGCAGTGCTTGAGCACTGGGCTGCGAAGCTGCCTGCAGCCTCTGCAGCGCTGATGATCCCCGGCTACAGGAGAGGTTCCCACCTGGCGTGCAGACCTCTCCTGCCGCCTGCTGCTCCCCTCAGCAGTGTACTTCGCCAGTCTGCCTGTTCTGCTCCCCGCTCTGGCTCTGGTGAATTCTCTCACCCTCCCGTTCCTCTGACTGTACCCAGTGCTTGTGTAAATAAGTAAATAAATCTTAAAAAAAAAAAAAATGAATAGTAGCCATGATCCAGACCTACACACAAGGGACATCAAGGTGTGTTCAACCAGGGTCAGGGCACACTCAAGTTTTAAGGGTCAGGCCTAGAAATGGCCTGAGGTTAGGTCAGTTGTGACACTTTTGGATTATTTCCCAATAAAAGGCTCAGTGTGGGCCCCTGCTCCTTCCATCAGCCGATGTCTCTCTTTCTGTAGTCACTGAATGACTAACTCAGATGGTTAAATTTTTACCCAGACGTCTCAACACGGCAACTTAGAGACAAGAGGGAATCTGTTTGACTGAAAACAAGTTTCACGTGAGCAAAATTCAGTGCAACAAACTAGGGGTCTGGGTGCTATGGCTGAGCTCCAAGATAGTTCCCCAGGGACACTAGAAGGAGGATAGGAAAAGAACAAAAATAATTTATTTGACTTGTAAATTAAAGCTTCTAATCCATCCTTGAGAGAGACTCTATCTAAAGGCTGATCTGTAACCTGGGGCAGAAATGTGATGGTTACAGCTAAGTTGAAGCACCTCCCTGCTACCTGAGCAATTCACACACACTTCCTGGTTACCTTTTTCAATCACACTATCGGGCTTTCTTAACTTCTCTCAATTCTACCCAAAGTGTTGTCAGTTTACTAAATTCTACCCAAATAAGCTGTCAGTTAGCAACAAAGTTATTCTCTGAAATGCATTCATTTCTTTTTATTTATGATTTATTTTACTTATGCATATAAGAACTGGGGTAGAGGCCAGAGGTGTGAGGGGTGGGCAAGAGAGGGTTCACCGGAGACAGAGTGAGGAACTAGGGGTTAAGACACATCACTATGAAGCTATCCGCAGTCACTCTAACAAGAGCTAGCTTCCAGGCCAGGGAGGTACTCACATGGCGCAGAGACCTCTCCTGACTCGCCCATTGCTCCCCTCAGCAGTGTATTTTGGATCATCTGCCTGTTCTATTCCCCACTCTGTCTCTGGTGAATATCTCACACCCACAACTCTTTCCTGCACCTCAGTTCTTGTATGCATAAATAAATAAATATATATTTAAAAAAAAATTAGGTGATCAGAAGTTGCTTGTCTCCCTCGGGTAATGTGGAAATGGCTTGAACTTTATTTACCCTGTTCTCCACACATCTTCCAACTTTGGGAATCAACTTGAATACTTCTTTCAAAGGGTTAGTGAGCTGTGAACTCTTGTGCGTGACACCCATGTCATCTTCCCAGGTTCAAATTGTGGAATCATGCTTTTATCAGGTGTATTCTTTTTAGAGCATATGCAGCAAAATCACTGGTTTTTTACCTAAAGGAACAATTGTATAAGTAGCTTAAAAATCAAAGAGTGGTCTCATTCACTGTACTTGCTCTCCTTCCATTAGTCATGAAACTAGTTTATTTCTCAACTTCTTCGCATGCTGGAGACCATCTCCAGCTAGAAGTTGTGTCAGGGGTCTCAGAGAGGAGAGGACGCGTTCGGCCAAGTTTTCTCTCAGAAGACTGAGGGGAAGTGGAGCGAGGTAGAAGTGAGGTAGACACAGACAAGTGTCTACCTACTGAAAGTCTCAGCAGATGGTGCAAGCATCTCCTACTGAAAGTCTCAGCAGTTCTTTATTTATACCTTGAGGCGAGCGGTGACATTACATCAGCATAAGCTCAAAGCAGAACAGAGACAATCATTACATATTTTCTCATGAATATACAAAGACCCTCTTGATCTCATACTACAAAAGGACACTTTAATCTGATTAAGAAAATCAACAGGGACAAATACTCTCCTAGGTACAACTCATTTTCCAACATAATCAATTGTCTAAGACAGTATAATGTTCAGTAACAATCAATCATCCTGTCAAGCTATCCTAATTTTGGAGTAGACATGAAAGTCCATTGTTATGCTATACTACTAAAATCAACCCATTCTCTAGTACTCAGTTTATCTAGCCTATTATCAATTACTTCAAAGTGATCTAAAACAACTCATCAAATCTATGTAAGTTCTACTGAAGTCTAACTCTTAACTAGAAATTCCTAACCTCCACGCAACCTGCGAACTGTTGGCCTTTCGCATACACCAGGAGATGTATTGTTGTGTAACAGGGTGGTCCCCAGGAAAGGGGGAGGTTCCAGCTTCCCTGCCCCACCCAAGGAAGGGTGGAGCTGAGCAGGGAGAGAAGAAGCTGCAGAAGAGACTAAGGAAGGAAGCAGGATGGAGCCAGGAGACCTGAAGGAGGCGCATGGAGCCTAGAGACATGTGAAGAAACTGCGCTTGTCTTTTGGTCGTGGACTGGGTGACACAGATGTGGGTGAGACCCATGGGGAGGTGACAATGGCAGCTTTTATTTGGATGTTGATTTTGCTCTTTTCCTTCCGGGCTTGTCCAGTTGTTTGTGACCCTTTTCTGTGGGTCCCCACTGGAAGATGTTTTAGACTTGTGGTAGACTTTGGGGCCTTGTTCTGGGCCGATCCCATATGGATGGACTTTTACCCACGAGGGGATGGGTAACTTTGGGTGCTTCATTTAGAAACTAGACTCTTTGCCTTACCTGTATTGTTTCCTAGTTTAATTAAAGTTCCTTCCCATTAAAGTCTCCTATGTTTTATGTTGATGCGGCGGATGGCAGAACCCATTTAGAATAGGCAGGTTTGCAGGGTTTGGGCTGACCCTCTCCCTGTCCTATAACAGATTTGGCGACCACGAAGATTTAGGACAGAGCCATCCGTGGTTAGTCAGCCCCATGGGGAAACTGGGCTTCCCTATGGCACTGGCTACCATAAGCGCAAATGTGATTTTTGGTTTCTCCGGTGTGTTTGTTTCATATGTCGATTTGCTGTTGAAAAACTGGCTTGGGCTTTGTGAAGATCTGTGTGTCTGTATGTAATTTGTTTGTAGTGACTTTCTAAGACATTTGATTTTGTGGAAATTGTTCTGTGCCAGTTTTACTCAAAAGATTAGGCAGTACATTGGACCATGTGGCCAGATCAAAGATGGCGTCTGAGGCCACTTGGAACTTTTTTTTTCTTTCTTTTTGTAATCTCTGCTGTCTCATTAGCATTTCTAAAGGCAATAATGGTTCTTCAGTGGTCTGTTGCTTTGTCTTTGGCTACTTCCTGCTCTCTGCCTGATGGATTTTGCAAGCCAATTGTGGAGCAGTGGTGTTCAAATTAGCAAATGTATGCCTGGGTGTTAAGGAAAGAGTAGCCTTAAGCAGTAACTGGTAATTGCTGGTAACCTTGATGGATTCTTGGAGATAACTTGAATTTTTGCAAAGTCTGGATCAGAAAAATTAACAAGATTTTGTCTGAGTCTGAAAGGATTTGCTGCTATGAATTTTGTCTACACAATTTGTTTTGGGCATGTTTGCCATTTTGAATACTGGATTTGTTCAATTGCTGGTGTAAGACAAGATTCTAAGTTTTCTGCTTCCTACTGAGGAAGGTCTGTTATGGAAAGCACTCTTTAGGGTGCATCATGTAACTGTACCAGGTTTTCATACCTGTGTTGTTGTTGTCCCTCCCTAGTGTGGGGGAGGTGTAATCTGTGCTTAGATGTTTAATCTGCTCTTTCAGCTTCTGTCCCAGAGTGGCTAACAGAAGTAAGGAGATGACTCCTTTTAATTGAAAGTTAATTACTGATATTTTGATTTTGCTTTTTCAGGTTCTATTCCAGGAAACCCAAGGAGTGCCTGCTTGGTGGCTAACAAGAGATGACTCCTTTTGCTTAAAAGTTAACTTTTATTCTTTCAGTTGCTGTACAGAACACCCCAGGATTGACTTCTAATAAAAAGTCTTCAACACTGAAAACCCTAAGGTGATAAACAAGGTCATGTAACTCTTGTGATTAATAAAACTTTTCCTTCCTATTTCCAAAGTCTTAGGTTTGCAGGATGACAACTGGAAATTTTTCTGCCAGCAACACTCCACATTTTTTTTTGGACTTTGACATTTTTTTTTCTGAGCCTATGGAGTAAAACTGCAGTTACATAACCTGTTGCAATTGCTGCAAACAGGTACCCCCCAGGTTAGGCTATGGTTTCCAAGCACAGCTGGTTCCGGGCAGCTTGTTCTCCATAGTTCTCAGGGCCAAAACATTTCTTTCCTAACTAGACCTTGAACAATTTTTACTTCTTTTGTGATAGTTCATGCGTAAGAACAATAAGCCAATTGTCACCTGGGTCCGAATTAGGTTTTCACATGCCAATTAATAACTAGCTTCCTTCAGCATTAACCAAGAACAAAGAGGAGAGCATTAGCAGGCATTGCCATGGAGAATCCCTAGTTCAGATCTTTGGAAAGTGCAAGAACTCCCCTCTTCTGGGAAGTACAATTTCCCTCTTTGGGGAGCACAGGGACTCCCCGCTTCTCGAGAGTCTCCCCCAATGCCCGGACCTTGTCAAGAGACAGCATGGGAGGCGCAGCCTGCCGCATTTGCACTTCGACACTCCATGGGAATACATTCAGGCCAATTCAATGGGGCAGAAGTGATACTTTATAGGGCAGGGAGAGGGGCACCCGAGATCCCACAAACCTGCATTCTCTAAATAGGTTCTGCCATCTGCTGCATCAACACAAAACATGTGAGACTTTGATGAAAAGGAACTTTAATACAATAGGAAACAATACAGAAAAGGCAAAGAATATAGTTTCTAAATCAAGCACCCAAAGTTACCTGTCCCTCGTGGGGAAAAGTCCACTCAAATAGGATTGGCCCAGAGGCAGACCCGAAAGCCTGCCACAAGCCTAAAGCACCTTCCAGTGGGGACCCACAGAAAAGTATCAGAAACAACCAGGCAAGTCTGGGAGGAAAAGAGCAAAATGAAAATCAAGATAAAAGTTGCCATTGTCACCTCCCCACGAGTCTCTCACCCACATCTGTGTCACCCAGTCCACGACCAAAAGGCAAGTGCAGTTTCTTCCCGGGTCTCTCTGCTCCATGTGCTTCCTCCAGGTCTCCCTCTGGCTATCCATCCTAGGTCTCTCCTGCAGCTTCTTAACTTCTCTTTGCTCAGCTCCACCCTCCCTTGGGTGGGGCAGGAAACCTGAAACTCCCCTTTTTCCAGGGGACCACCCTGTTACCATACTGCTTAGTAGAGTCCTGCCCTGGAATTCCCACATGATCCACCAATACACTGCGCTTCACAAGAGTTAATCTTACTTTCTATATCCTTTGTGATGGTTAATTTTATATCTTTACTTCACTAGGCCTTCCAAGAAGAGAAACTTCACCAGCAGACTACATAGGACTCAAACTGCAACTCCTCCCTGGGTCTCCAGCCATCACTCCATGGAGGGGCTCTGTCTGCAGCTTCACGTTAAGGCAAGGGCAGAACAGCTGCTTGTTGGAGGAGGCCATCAGCCTGAGGCCAGGAAGAATGACCTCGAAAGTCAGCTCTCACAGTGCCTGCTCTGCAGACACTTGACTTAGCCAGTCTCCACAATCTCATGAGCCAGTTCCTTAAAGTAAATCCCTCCAGACATATGCATATATGAAACCTATGAGCTCTGTTTCTCTGGAGAACCTGACCATTACCCTGTTGGATAAAAAATGCTAGGTTCTTTCTCTCCACCTCCCATTGTCCTGGCCACATCAAGATGGTTGCTCACACAGACATTGTGCAGACAATGGAATGCTCTGTCCCACTCCTCACAACTGTCCCCACTGGCCTTGTCTTCTTGAGGGTGACTTCATTGGGCAAAACGACTGCTTGACCAACAGTGGTGTCAAAAAACTGGAATTGGGTAAGTGCGCATGTTGTGTTCTGTGAGAGCTGACTTTCGAGGTTGTTCATCCTGGCCTCAGGCTGATGGCCTCCTCCAACAAGCAGAGTCCTGCCCTTGCCTTAACGTGAAGCTGCAGACAGAGCCCCTCCGCAGAGCAGCCCAGCAGGTCCCGCACAGCTGAGACCAGCACACCTGGTGTAACTTGAACGTGACACGCCTGACATGTGCTATTTTATCTGCAAGCAAGTGTCCTGTCTGCTGAGCAATAAAAGCATAAGAGGCTGATGCTCAACTTTTAGGACAACATTTTAAAATAGGAAAGATTATTGCAAAGGCAACGTAAAAACCTCTAACTATCTCACTGTTGACAATGATGAACTATGAGATAATCTTTGCTTTCTAAGGATCTCTTGATATAATCTTAGAACTTTACAAGATCTTAGAATGTAAAACAATGTATGTTGATTACAGCATGATTTGGCTCCATTTTTATCCATTTATTTATTTTTTTCTACATATATATTAAGAGCTTTAGGGGCCTCCCCTGGTGGCGCAGCGGTTGAGCGCTGGTTGCGAGGCTGCCCGCAGCCTTGGCAGCGCTAGTTCATTCCCCGGCCACTGGCGTGGGTCCCACCAAAAAAAAAAAAAAAAAAAAGAGCTTTAATGAAGTAGAGTTGACACACATAAACTGCACCTACTTAAAGTGAACATTTGATGAGCTTTGAACGATGTTACATCCCCAAAACCATCACTACAATCAAGAGACTGAACATATCTATGTCATCTCAGAAGTTTCCTCATGTGCCTTTGTAATCTTGGCTTCCATCTCTTTCCTCTTTACCGCTGTCCCCACTCCCAGGTAACCACAGATCTATTTTCTGTCATTATATGTTGGTTTTCCTCTCTAGAATTTTGTAAAGATGGGACAAACCAGAATATTCTTGTGTTTTCTCATACTAAGCGTAATTATTTTGCGATTCATCCGCATGGTGTGTCTCAGGGATTCGTTATTTTATGTTGCAGTTACTTTATTACTTTTTTAAAGATTTATTTTTATTTATTTATGCATATAAGAACTGGGGTGTAAGCCAAAGGTACAGGTGTGTGAGAGGATTCACCAGAGACAGATTGGGGAACAGAACAGGCAGATCTGTTGAAATACACTGCTAAGGGGAGCAGCAGGTGAGATAGGAGAGGTCTGCTGCGCCATGTGAGTAGCTCCCTGGCAGAAGAATGAATTCATGCCGCAGTGGCTGGGGATAGCATGATAGTGCTGAGACTTAACCCCTTGCACCACCAGAGAGGCCCTGTTGCAGTTACTTTAATGGACATTTGAGTGTTTCCGATTTGAACATACCACCTATATATATCCTCCTACCAACACCTCCTACCAAACTCCATATATCCGTTTGTCCATGTGCTTTCTTTCTCTTGGGAAAATAACTGGGTGAAATAACTGGGTCATATGGCAGGTGTATGTTTACCTATCTTAAGAATTGAAAAGTAGTTTTCCAAAGTGCTTGGACCATGTATTATTTCCACCAGCAGTGCAGGAGAGTTCCAGTTGCTCCACATCTTTGCCAATGCTTGGTGTGGCCAGTCTTTCTCAGTGCTATCTCATTCAAGTTTTGATTTATTTCCTTCATGGCGAATGATGGCGATCATCTTTTGCTGTCCTATTAGCCATCTGGGTATCTTCTTTGGTGAAGTTAATGTTCAAGTCTTTTGTCCGTATTTTATTGGGTTCTTTCATTGTTACTGAGTTTTGAGAGCTCCTTAGGTCTTGATGGAAATCCTTGACTGGCTTGGAACCAGCCCCCAGGATGGCCCTTCTAGGTGGGAGAGCTGGTGTGTTACCTGCTTGAGTCAGAAGAGGGAGCCCCGTGCTCGATACACAGCAGCCATGTCTTCTCTGAAACTGGACTGACACATTTCTTCTCTTGGAAGTGAATCTCCTAGAGACAACCCAGACTTCTGAACTGTGCAGGAGAAAAGGTCTAGAGAGAAAGTCTTCAATGATTCTTCCCTTTCCACTTCCTCTTTTTTAACCTCCACTCACTGGCTATGTGACCTTGGGGCAGTTATTAATCTATTAGAGAGTTCCTGGAAGTAAATAGTAAAAAGGCGGTGGATCTACCTGAGGAGTGCTTGTGAGGAGGATGGAAATAACAGCCCAGCACAGTGCCTGAGAGGCAGCTGCTAAGGAAAGCAACGGTCATAATCATCCAGTTTCCCAAGGGACGCGGTACAAAGTCAAACGCAGCCCTGCTAGTTACATGCCCAAAACAACTCCTCAGAAATCACATTCTCCCTGTATAAACCCTGGAAAAGTTGGTGCCCTCTCTCCCCCATCTGAATCTTACTTTTGCCCATGCTTCCTGGTATTTCAGGAAAACTGAACTTGACCTGAAACTGAACTTAAATCTGCTGTCCCTGTCTTATATTTGGCTTTCAGGAGTCTATGGTTTTAGAGAGGCAGAGAAGCAGGAAAAGCCAATAGGATAGTCCAACACTTCTATATGAAGAAACCAGAAACAGCTTTAGTTTTCTGGGAAAATGGGGAGAAAAACTAATAAGCTGGTATAAAGCAGAGCTCTTTCTCCCTCTGGTGTCTATGTCCTGGAAGCAGAGACCCCAGCTACCCTGGCATCCCAGCTGAGATGTACAAGACAGGGACTGCTACACAAGGGCCTGGGACTTCTTACCCTCAGTCTTGGGGCACACATAAGTATTTAGAAATCCTGCGTGAGTGGAGTGGGAAGCTTAGCATTCTGCACATAACAGTGATGAGTTAAGGATGAAGACAAGATCAAAGATTCCCCTGGCTACCCTGAAGTCATTCCAATTCTAACTTTAGAGTCAGAGCCGGGGACACAGCAGCACAAGTGGGAACCCCTGGTTCTAGCTCCACAGCCACCTGCCTACCTCTTCTTCCATTTTAATTCCACTCAGGTCACATTTATTCCCCTATAAGCCTCAGATCCCCTTCTCTACTTTACCCTTGTAGCGATCACATGGGTCCTTGGATTTTAAATTCCTTAAAAGCAAGGACCAGAAAGTTGACTACTTTTCAAGCACATTTGATAAAGAATATCTAATAGGTACTCTGCAGTTTTTAATATGGTTGGTACATAAATCAAGTTGAAATTAAAACTGACAGTTGACCTTTGTTTCATAAATAATTTATTCTTCCAGATAAAAATAATCTAATACAAAATTATAATAATTTATAATTTATAAAAAATAATTTATAATTTAAAAAATTTAAAATAATTTATAATTTATAAAAATAAATAATTTAATGCAAAAATGAATTTTAAAAAATGTAAAGTTTTTTAACAGTTCTTTCAAATGCAATCCATTCACAACAGTCACTTTAGGAACCCCTGCTGATTGAAGAAAGTCCAAAATCATCAGCAGCGTTGTCTATTCCCTGAGCATCAGGCTAGACAATCTTCAGTTTGGGAGGTAATCTGTAAGTTTGTTAAGGAAGAATGTGTTCCTGAAGATATCTGTTTTGACGATCACCCAGGCACAGCTGCTGTACTCGTTGTCCTGCAGGTACCACACGAGACTGAAGTAGTATTTCTTCAGTTTCAGGATGGTCTTAATTGTCCAGGTGAACTTGTCCTCCTCCGCTATTTCATCCAGGATGGGCTCCAGCTGCTTTATCTGCCCATAAATGTTCACAACGAGTTCCTCAACAACGCTCTCATTCCAGCCTGTACTGGCATGATTTCTGCCAAAGATCCCAAAGATCTGCTGAAGCATCTCATAGGTGACCAATATGGCATCTTCCTTCTGGAGCTGCGGTGGATTCATCACCTCCTCAGGGAGGGTGCTGTTCATCCTTTGCTGGAGGCAATCAGTGCTGGATGCATTCAACTGGCCCAGGATCCTCTGACTTGCCAAATTCCTGCTTCTTTGTTGGTATCGAAGCAAATTGTAGCCCTTAGAAAGAGCTGTGGTGCAAAAGCACACCAGGAGAGCGACTTGTAGGATGCACCTGTTGGCCATGGTGACAACAGGAAGAACAGTGCCCGTCTGCTACACCTGAGGTGGCACAACAAAGGCTTCAAGAGTGAGTGTCTTCTCCCCATGCCTTTGGGCTATTTATATGCACAGGTCCCCTGTTCTTTCTATTTGACAGGACTTTCCCACTTTCAGTTCCCCCTTTCTGTTTTCCTTTTTTTTTTTTATTTTTCTTTTACCTCCTATTTTATTTTATATACATTAGAGAAAAAGAAAAACAAAAATGTAAGGAATTACTTTTTGTGTTTTGTAATGTTTGGTGAATTGATAACTGCTAAAGAAAAACTATAAGCTGAAATATTTAGAACTGTACTACTGGGTTCTTTGATTTGATTCTTTAAAGATTTGTTTTCCTTTTGGTCTTTGTTTATATGGGAGTTTTCTTTTTCACAAGAATTACATTTAACTCCCAATTACATTGCACACAATAATGTAAGTACCAAATACAATTTTTTTTTTTAAAAAATACAAACTTTTTTCTCTATAAAATAAGATAATCTTGGGTCTCTCTGGTGCACAAGGGGTTAAGACACAACCTATGAAACTATCCACAGCTCCTGCAGCATGGAGGGAGCGGAGTTCTATGGCCAGCAAGGAGATACCCACATGGTGCAGCAGACCTCTCCTGACTAGACTGCTGCTCCCCTCAGCAGTGTATTTCAGTCAATTTGCTTGTTCTGTTCCCCACTCTGTCTCTGGTGAATCCTTTCACCTCCCACACCTCTGGCCAGTACCCCAGTTCTTATATACATAAATAAATAAATCTTAATAGGCTAATCTTAAAGTAGATTTGAATGTTTTTTTGGGTACAGAGAGCCCTAACTGTATACAAGACATCATATAGTTTTATCACCCTTATTTATTCTTTTATCTAACAAACCCAACTATCCAGAATGTCACAGAGAACTAAAGCTCTAAGCAGATAGAATGAATGTTACATGGGCCATGCACAGAAGCTCATGGTTACTTCTTAGGGGCCTTTGTAACTAATATATTCTTATTTTGTACAGACTTCTAACAAATCAAAATCTGATTTTCCATTCTCATGCAAACAGGCACTGCAAATTAGAAGGAGATTCAGAGGGACAGTGGGGAAAATAAAATCAAGCAATCAAAGGATGTTACAGTTTAGACAAATGATCCTATCTCAATATTTTTTAGGCTTTTTTTTTTGTTCAGAATATAATAACTGGTTTTTCAAGGAGAGCAATTAGTGAAAACTCAAATTATGACTTTTATAGCTTATTTATATAGAAAAGAAGACATATGATACATTTTTTAGAAATTTCAATACAAAAATAAGTTATAATAATGATATTTAAAGTAATAAATGAGGCTTCCCTGATGGTGCAAGGGGTTGAGATGCAGCACTATGAGGCTGTCCACAGCCACTGCAGCATGAGTTTGATCCCCGGCCAGGGAGCTGACCCACATGGTGCAGCAGACCTCTCCTGTCTTGCCCGTTGCTCCCCTCAGCAGTGTATTTCTTTTTTTTTTTTTTTTTTTTTTTATAGAGGCATGCTTTATTTATTTGTTTGCTGGTTTGTTTGTTTTGTTTATACATGCACTGGGTACAGTCAGAAGCGCGGGAGGGTGAGAGAATTCACCAGAGCCAGAGCGGGGAGCAGAGCAGGCAGAAGGACCGAAGTACACTTCAGCAGTGTATTTCAACAGATCTGCCAGTTCTGCTCCCCACTCTGTCTCTGGTGACTCCTCCCACCCCCTGCATCTCTGGCCTGCACCCCAGCTCTTGTGTGCATAAATAAATACATCTTTGAAAAAAAAAAAGTAATAAATTGCTGTTTCAGAAAATCCTCACATTATCTTTCAACTTGAATTTACTGAATCCCTACTGTGTCTAAGAAACTGTAGCATGAGCAGCTATAGATAGTAATTCTCACTTTCATGGACTGTACAATTAAGCAGAGAATTAATCAAAGAAATATACAGAAGCACCATGCAACAGTGCCAAAGTATTATGAGGAGATCATCTCATTACGGGGTTTCCGATGACATGGGGACATAATGTAATAGAAAAGATTGGAGAGTACTGCCTGAGATGACATTGGAACTGAAATCAGAGAAAAGCCAGCTGGGGTTGCATGTGCAAAGGCACTGTAGTGGGAGGACATCTGGCCAAGGCAAAGGGCTGCATGGAAAGCCACTGTAACCTTGACTAGTCAGAGAAGGGTCTGAGATGAGGCCAGAGGGCAGAGAGAGTCATGTAGCAGATGATTGTGAGGCCATAAGAACTTTTTCTTTATCTCAAGAGCAGTAGATATCTTGGGAAGGTTTCTAGGTAGCATGAAATAATTTGATTAGGTTTAAGAAAAAAGGACACTGTCTACAGTAAGCAGTAAGTAATGGAGGGAGAGCAGAATGGATGTGGTCTGGCAGAGGATTTATCAATACTTTATTCCTTTATTCAAGCAGGATAGTGGTAGAGAAGAATGATTTTTTTTAAGATGTATTTATTTATACAAGCACTGGGTACAGTCAGAAGCGCAAGAAGGATGAATTTTTTTATGTAAAATCTCATTTTCTGACACCACCAGATTCAGGTGCTTAAGGAAATTCTCCATCATTTTACAGATAGCTGCATCAATTCTATAGGTTATGATGATTTCAATATTCTTGATATACAGGGATATTGCGTCTATTGTATTAAATGGAAGAAGAGGCTGGAAATATCTGCATAAATATGGATTTAAAACATAGAACGACCCAGGCCTCCCCTGGTGGTGCAAGCGGTTGAGTGCCGCGCTATGAAGCTGTCCGCAGCCTCTGCAGCACTGGTTCGATCCCTACCAGCCGGTGAGGATCCCACATGGTGCCAGAGACCTCTCCTGCCTCGCCTGCTGCTCCACTCAGCAGTGTATTTCGTCAGTCTGTCTGTTCTGTTCCCTGCTCTGTCTCTGGTGAATCCTCTTACCCTCCCGTGCATCTGGCCTGTACCCCAGTTCTTGTATTAATTAACTAATTAATACAAAAAAGATTTTTAATAAAAAAATAAAACCTAGAATGACCCAAGTTCCCTTCATCAATAAATTTCCTGTCTTGGGAGCTTTACAATATACTCAACATATCTCCCAAATATCCTTCCATCTTTGTGACTATATGTAATGGCTCTCCCCAGGAAGGATTATTTATTGGTGAGATCTGAGATATTCCTAAAATACTGCTTGTGCTTGAACTACGCTGATGCAATGCCTCCTAAATGGGGTAAAAAGGAAGTAACTTGCCTTTCCTTCTAAATTGGGGGAGCGAGAAAGTCACCAGCATCATTCACTCTAATTATGAGCATATTTTCCAGTTTTTTTTTTAAATCATAACTTTTTTTTTAAAGATTTATTTTTTATTTACACAATAGCTGGGGTACAGGCCAGAGGCATAGGAGGGTGAGAAGATTCACCAGAGACAGAGCAGGGAGCAGAACAGGCAGACTGACCGAAATACACTGCTGAGGGGAACAGTGTGTGAGACAGGAGACGTCTGCCACAGCATGTGGTTATCTCCCTGGCCAGCCAGGAATTGAACCTGCACTGCAGAGGCTGCAGACAGCTTCATAGCACTGCACCACCAGGGAGGCCCGAGGCCCATATTTTCCAGTTTTATAGTCAGACAGGATCAGATACTTGGAATGAACGTGAACTTAGATATTTACTGTTGAAAGTGATGTTTAATACCATTGACTATGAGATTTCCCTTTAATTAAATCACCCCTTCAATTTCACAACCAGTTATCCCTGTTCCAGCTTCAGAATATATGAGGGATGGATATTCAGGAGCTTTTGGTAGTGAGTTGGAGGTAGGACATGCACTTTAATCCCCTTCTCTCTCCACAGCTGCCTATTACCCAAACAGGCCATGCCTGAAATTACAGACTTGTTCTTTTTTGAAACAACATAAGCTAAAGGACAGTGTTAGGTCAGATCTGACCAAGAAAGAATCTGCTGCCGCTTTTGGAGGTAAATCCCCAGGAACTTATGGGACTTGGGCTTGAACAGAAGCCTGCCCTCCGCACAAATATTTAGACACGCCCTGCCACACATGGCCAGCAAGGGGTGCACTCCCATGTAAGTGTTTTCCCTTTTTTTTTTTTTTTAAGATTTACTTACGTAGGACCTCCTTGGTGGTAAGGGGATAAGACTCAACCTATGAAGCTATTCACAGCCACTGAAGCATGAGTCAATCCCCAGCCAAGGAGGTACCCATATAGTGGACCTCTCCTGACTCACACACTGCTCCCCTCAGCAGTGTATTTCAGTCAATCTGCCTGTACTATTTTCCAGTCTGTCTCTGGTGAATCCTCTCATTCCTCCTGCCCCCACACCTCTGCGCTGTACCCCAGTTCTTGTATGCAAAAATAAATAAATCTTTTAAAAAGAAATGAAAGAACTGGGTTACAGGCTAGAGGTGTGGAGGCAGGGGGCGGTGAGAGGATTCACCAGAGACAGAGTGGTGAGCACAACAGGCAGATCTTCTGAAATACACTGCTGAGGGGAATAGCGGGCGAGACAGGAGAGGTCTGCTGTGCCATGTGGGTCACCTCCCGGGCCAGGGATTGAACTTGTGCTGCAGTGGCTGCCTATAGATTATTAGCTAGTGCTGTGTTTAACTACTGTGCCACCAGGGTGGCCTGCATGTAAGCATTTTTGACCTCAGCAAACTGAGGGAAGCTGTTCCACTTTCAGCACCTATTTCACCATAGTAATAAGGACATTCCCTCACATCCCAAAAATATTGCTAAGGACACACAGAGACACAAGCCTTATTATATCTGCTGTGAAAATCTTCAGTTCCCATTTCACTTTGCTCTCTCCTTGGGTCTTTCCACTCCTAATAGAAACCTTGCAGCTAGAAAGCATGAGAGAACCAGAGCCACCTGGGGGGGCTGGCAGTAAGGTGAGCCTGTGGGGATACTGTTGGGGAGTGAATGCCAGGAGGGAGAGAAGCTGCTCCCACACCAGCCAGTAAATCCCGCCTGTCCTGGTTTCACTCCAGGTACCATCCTCTCAGATATTTAAATCCACCATGGCTCACTAACTGAATATATTTCATTTACACCTCCAACATAGGAGTGGTCACTTCCCATATTGTCCAGGACTCCCCTCAATTTCATGGAATTCCAAGTGTTGATGGGCATTTTCTCACAAGTGGTAGGACTGTTGCATAGGACTTAGTAGACAGCTATTCTGAGAATGATTCATGTAGGAAAAATGAGCATTAGCTTTTAAGAATGAACAAAATGAAGAAGTTATCATTGACAAGAATTTAATAAGTGAAAAATTTAATTGTATGCAGAGGTGGACATATTTTCTAAATTTTAACACAATGTAAGGACAAATAATTGCATGAAATGTAAATATGAAAGGACACAAGAATGAATAAATAACAAATAAATAAATAAATATTAAGGTGGCGCTGTCCTAGGAATTAATGATCCTAGAACTGAATTTTTAAATATATTCTTGCTTAACGCTACAGACAAAACATTTCCTAATTAAATTCAATAAATTCTGTGGCTGAAGCAGAAACAAGAGCCTTTGAAATGCCCTAAGACTTTTGTGCAAAGGTGATGAGCCTCATTAGTCAGGAGATTCACTTCAAGGTGAGCCCAAGTCTCCACCCTTCATGCTGAGTCTTTCTTGCAAGGTGGTTGACAAAAAGAAGCATCTCCTGATTTCCACTCGGACCACCTCCCAGGCACAGTCACTGTACTTCTTCTCTTGCAGGTAGAGATGGAGTCCCTGGAAGTAGTTCTTCACAGCAAGAACGGAGGCTTCAATTCTCAGGGCCGAGTCTTCCTCTCTCACCTCCTCCACCGAGCAGGCGTCCAGGGCTTGCAGCTGCCGGTAGAGCCCACTGAGCAGCCGGTCCAGGAGGGTCGCGTTCCAGGCAGCAGAGCAGTCCTCCGAGAGGAACAGGTGGACGGTCTCCCAGAGCATCTCCTGCAGGACAAACACGGCCTGGGCCTTCGGCAACAGGCTGCCATCCAGCACCTCCCAAGGGAAGCTGAAGTCTTTCCTGTCCTTCAGACACAAGAAAGAGGAGATTCTCCTCATTTCACCCAGAAGCGCAAAGTTGCTCCTGCTCAAGGCGGCGTGGCTCGGAGGCAGGTCACAGGCCAGAGAGCCACCGGGGCAACAGCTGAGCACTGCCAGGGCCGCCAGAAGAGACAGCAGGAGGGCCATGGGCAAGCAAGAAACAGGCTGGTCTGGTGGTGTCTGGGTGAGCGAACCTTAGGTTGTCTGAACCATCTCCCTAAGCATGGCCTTTAAATAGGGAAACATCAAATTTCATTTTCTGTACATGCCTTCACACTTTCCATTCATCTTTTGTTTGGTTTTTTTTTTTTGTGTTCTCCATATGATGTAACTGATTGCCATCTGGATTTTTTACCATCTCTTGGATATTTACAATTAAGGGAAAAACATCCTTGTTCTGCGTATGTAGGTGTGTACTTTATTTGTTCTCCATATGCTCTAACTAAATATCAATTTTGATGTTTTACCATTCAAATGGATGTTTCATCATCCAAATGGAATGTTTTCCATCCAAATGGATATTTGCTCATTAAATGAAAAACATCTTTGTTCTGTGTATGTAGGTATGTAAATACTCATACACACACACTCACATTTATCCTTCCACCTATAAAGATTTCTCTGTCAGAAACAAAATTTGACCTTGAGTCTGATGTACCATTCTTACTTTCATAGGAAAGCAGGGTCCCCTGGCACAATGGATTTCTGTGTTTGATTAGGTATTTGCCAGACATATAGTAAATAAATTCTTTATGCGCTAAGGATGGGTTTTGCTTGATTCTCAGCTGAGCCTGGTGATTATTATGGAATGAACTTCTCAAATGCTTCCCTCTTGTCTAGAGGACAATCATGCAGGCCTGCATGGTTATGCCACCAGTTCAGTACCATCTGCTCCTTCAGGAGCATGTGGGTGTGGAGATTTTAACTCATTCTATTTTCCCAGCACCACCTCACTCACAGGTAGAAACCTCATCTAGCAACATGTTCTCTCTGGAGTGATAGGGTCTTCAGCCCAAACTGTCCTGTGCTCACTCCCTGAGGGCATTTTCCCCACATCCCAAGGTCTTTAGAATTCCCTAGGGTGGAGGGGCTGGTTCCTTCCTTGGCGAAACAATCTTCCAGAAGCCTCACATAAGCCACAGAGAGTATGTGTGAAGGACCTCAGTTCTCAGTGGTGACTCCTCTCCAGACTTATGTTTCCAAATATGAAAGGTGCCCACAGCCCCCAGAGACTGACAGCAAACTTTGTCTGGTCTAGGAGGTAACCAAATCATCCCATTGTAATCATTTCATTTTTATTAGACAAATAATATTTATTTTGTCCCGTGCAGATTATACTATTCATTTAAAGTTTTACTTGTCAAAACTGGACAAACGAGGGCTTCCCCAGTGGTGCAGCAGTTGAGCGCTGGTTGTGAAGCTGCCCCCAGCCTCCGCAGAGCCGGTTTGATCCCCGGCTGCTCCCCGGCCACCGGAGGAGGGTCCCACATGGTGCGCAGACCTCTCTCCTGCCGCCTGCTGCTCCCCTCAGCAGTGTACTTCGGTCCTTCTGCCTGCTCTGCTCCCTGCTCTGGCTCTGGTGAATTCTCTCACCTTCCCGCGCTTCTGACTGTACCCATTGCTTGTATAAATAAATAAATAAATCTTTAAAAAAAAAAAAAAAAACTCCACTTAAAAAAAAAAAAGCATGGAAAAGCAGAGAGAGGCCCACCTGTCTTTTCCATGTTATATGGTCCACTCAGCTCTGTCTATAATTCCCACTAGCTCCCCTGTTTTGGAGGTCTGGTTCATGCTATTCTGGGGCTTGTCATCTGGGGCATCTGCACACATGCGGAGATGGGAAAATGGTGCCCGCTGGCTGTACTGCGAAGCTCCTCTCCCTTTTATGCAAACGAATTTTGTATTACTCTATTCCCATGTGCAATAACAGAGCAGTGAGGCCTAGCAATTAAGTTAGGGAGAATTAGCCTTCCTTACTTGTTTGTAGTTTTTTTTTTTTCTTCTATTGAAATTTTTGTAACTTTGTTGGAGTAAGGAACAAACTCTGCCCCCTTGAATGGTGTCCTGAATGAACTCCACCCACTGAATATTTTATGGACTATACCCCCATCTCCATGCAAAAGAGATCTTAGTTGTGAGGAATCTGACTTCATTAGTGGGTGGATACTGAGAACCAGGGTAGGAGTTTGCAGCCATGCTTAGTTTATAACTGAACACATGTGGGCTCCAGGTCGCTTTTTGCTTTTCTGACTTTTGACTTGTACTTTGGGGTTTCAGCTCAGACTGTATTACTTGCAGGATGTATTGGCCAATTGATCTTCATTCTATATATTTGTTCTCCCTGTTCTCATTCCCCTTGTAAAGAAGCCTTTTTTTTTTTTAAATGTTCTCTGCACACCTGTTTTTGTGTCTTTTCCTTAGTTCTTTTTTTTTAAATTTAAGATTTATTTATTTATGCATACAAGAGCTGGGGTACAGGCCAGAGGTGTGGGTTAAGAAGCAACCTATGGAGCTGTCCGCGGCCTCTGCAGCACGAGTTCAATCCCCTGGCCGGCCAGGGAGTAGCAGCCCACGTGTATCAGCAGGCCTCTCCTGACTCGCCCACTGCTCCCCTCAGCAGTGTACTTCAGTCAATCTGCCTGTTATGTTTTCCTTAGCACGCGACAGGGACCAACTGAGGCTCACAGCCCAGTTCACCCTGTTTACCCCTGAGGAGTGCCCCATAGCAACTTCTTTTCTTAGTAGAATATCTGGAAAACTTTGACTTGCTGAGTCTGTGTTACGTCCTAAGTAATACTGAGGGAAGACAAAGGAAAGTAAAAGGCAGCAAGGGGGCTGCATCATTTTGGGCTATAATTTTCAAGACTTCCAATTTTTGTTTCTTGTTTCTACTTTCCTAAAAGTCAAATTGTACAGTTGTTTTGCAAGCAAAAAGAGAGCCAGTGTAAATCTGAATATCAGAAAAGTGAAAGAAGGGAAGTGGCTTTTCTTGTGAGATGACGAAGTAGAAATGAACAAATTCACTGC